AGCAAAGTCGGGAGAGTGTGAGAAATTATTTTTACTCAAAAATCCCAAATTCAGAAAAGCACCTATGGGTGTAGTTAGATCTGTCCAACTACACTTTCAGTTTTCTATTGCTATCTACATCTCTTTTCGATTGTCCTTTTGCCAGGCTGGGTGGATCTATCACCCTGGAGGGAATACAGCAGAAGACACGAGAAGAAAAGGGAATTCACTTGATATTTGAGAGGTTGGTTAGAAAACATACTATGTGTTTTGGGTGGGGAAGAGGAAGAGAGAAAGTAAGTGGGTGTTAGAGGAGACTGCATGAGGATTATCTGTCCCTGTCACCAGCCTACCTATCACATCGCAGTCCCCTCTCCTGTCTGTCTCTGAGAATCCTGAAAGCATAAAAGTAGATCCTGAGTGCAGATATGGGAAGACATACAAGAACAATGAAATCGTGATCTAACAAACCAACTTTCCCAACAAGAATTCAAACTCCTATCTGTCTGAGCAGGTATGAACCCAGTCACAGTTCAGAGCCCTAATGCTATTTCTTTCACCTTTAGAGTCATCACGAGAGTCATAGAAGCCTAAGAGAGGCTGAAGGGTACTGGCCTGCACAATTATTCACACAATCGCTGAGAGTTCTCTTCAATCAGGTGAAGAAAGGCCCTCTTTTCTCTGGCCAAAAGGCTCACACCCACACAAGTATGGGTCGGGCCAGGGAAATGGGTTGGATGGCAGCAGGACTGATGATTGGGGCTGGTGCCTGCTACTGCATGTACAAACTGGCCATGGGAAGAGATTCCCGTAACGAACTGGAGGACGAGGAGGAAAATGAATGGGATGATGAGCAGGATCTGGATGAAGAGGAGGCAGACTTGTGGTTTGATTTCACAACAATGGCTCGGCCCTGGAGTGAGGATGGGGATTGGAATGAACCTGGGGCCCCAGGTGGGACTGAGGACAGACATTCAGGTGGTGGAAAGGCAAACAGAGCACACCCAATAAAACAGCGACCATTCCCTTATGAACATAAAAATACATGGGGTGCTCAGAGCTTTAAATCCTTCAATTGTGCTCTTGACCTGACCCAGGGTGCTTCAATTCAAGGGAAGAAAAAGTTCACTGAGCCAACAAATGCTGGCTTTTCCCTTAGCCACAATGTCGGTAGGCATTTGGCCAGCCTCTCAGTGGTGGGAAACAGGATCCCCACCACCCCGCACACTGTGAGGGAGAAGGCTTTGTGTGTCCCTGAAAACCCGAACACCAGTATTGGAAATCAGGGCCAGATTAAGATGTACACCCATGAAGTGTGTCGAGAGACGGCGTTTCGTTGCTGCAAGTCATTTCTGCAGCAGGCCGGATTAAGTCTGCTAATGAGCATGACAGTTATTAATAACGTGCTTGCCAAGTCGGTTGCAGACCTGCAGCTTTCTTTGATATCCGAGGGAAGTGGCTGTGCAAAGGTTGAGAGTTTGGAACCACTGATGGTTTTGTCTGAAAAGCCAGTGTTGGTGGGGGAAGCGCTGGCTGCGCAAACGCTATTCTCATTCATGCTCCTCTATATCAGAAGTGGGAGCAGAGAGATGCTTGTGGGAGCCCTCTGCCCATAAGTGGCTGTCTCAAGCGCAGAAGGAGACTGAATCCACCCAGAGCTGCAACAGTCTGCTGAGGGCAAAGAAGCTGCAGTGGGTGCAAGCAAGGATGCAGCCTTAGCCGGGCAGCAGCTCCTCCTTGGGTGAAAGTTCCAATCCCTAAATGGAGGGCCATAGTCTTCTTGGCCAGGCAGGGCTCCTGGGAGCTGGGGCAACTTCTGACATTTAGGCTGCAGGTCAAGTGCATTGTAAATT